TGTGTGCTATGGCAATTTGTGCTATTATCACAGTAATAGCACAGTAATATGTGCTATTATCACAGTAATATTTTCTTCCTCCACTAGAGCCGAGGACCAACGAATAAGCAGATGGGGGGGGCGGGGGAGAAACGTCCCAAAGCTATTTATTCTTCATTTTTTTTCCTCTTGCGCCGTTTGCAGGAGCTGATCACCGCTTGGTATATTGGATTCCTGTGCCTAATTTTAGCCTCCTTCCTGGTGTACTTGGCTGAGAAAGGAGAGAACGATCACTTTGATACGTACGCAGATGCCCTGTGGTGGGGCCTGGTGAGTATCTTTTTCAGGTGATGAGTTTGGGGTTTATCAACATAGCCTCAGAAACAGGGGTGGGCTTCAAATAATCTAACAGCCGGTTCTCTGCCCGCTTGCTGGATGGGCGTGGCCATGGTGGGCGTGGCCTGGCCTAGTCGGCCTCCTGCATCACCCTGGGAGCGAAAATGGGCGGGGGTGGGTGGGTTGTTTTCACCCTCCCCGGACTACGGAGGCTTTCCTCGAGCCTTTGGAAGGCCCGTATTTTGCCCATTGCAGCATTCCCAAGATAACCTGATCAAAATTCAGGCGCCTGGAAACTGGCTCATATTTATGACGGTTAGAGCAGGAGTCCCCAACCAGGCACTGGGCCACAAGCATGCCAGAAACCGGTCTTATCTAACCAGTCCCCTGGCTGTGGCTCTTCTCCATCTCCAAGGTCATTCCCACATATTAGGGTTCAGGTGCTAAGTTGTGTCCGATTCTTCACGACCCCACGGAGCACCGCATGCCAGGCCTCCCACTGTCCTCCACCGTCTCCTGAAGTTTGCCCCCAAATTTATGTTAATTACATTGATTTATCCTATCTGACCTGATTTATCCATCCTCTGCTGTCCCTTTCTCCTTTGGGCTTCCATCTTTCCCAACACCAGGGCCTTTTTTTTTTTTTTTGGAAAACAATTTTATTGATTTCTACAAACAAACAAGACAAACAAAACATTAAAACATCAACTCTCTTATATACGTACAGTGTGTCGGTTGGTTCATCAGTTTTGTGCATTCATTTCGTAGTCTCAATTACAGTTATATTACATAACAACTCATATTGTCAATCCAAACTTATATATCCTAATATCGCTATTAATAAATCATTTGACTATACTTTTAATCATTCATGCTTTATGAGATAACAATACTTTAAACAGTTTATTCTATAACAAATCATATAATCATACCAAATCTATCCTAAAAACACTTTATAGATATAATGTCAAATAACATAGGCAAAAGAAAAAATAAAGGTATTCCTTGCTATCTAACTTTCTAAATATTCTATTATCGTGCCAGGACCTTTTTGAATGAGTCGTCTCTTCTCATTTGTCCCCAAGGCACTTTTTTGCAAAAAGGCAACTGGATTTCCTCTGTTTTTGCTTGAAGAGGTTTTGCTTCTCAGCAGGGGTGGGTTTCTACCGGTTCTGTCCACCTCTGTAGAACCGGTAGCTCTGAAGAGCAGCAGACATAGAACCGGTTCTATGTCTGCTGATGTTTTTGGCCACCTGCCCACCCAGGCTCTTACCTGATCTTTATTTCCTGATTTTTCAACTTCAGCTGCCGAACGAGGCACAGCTGCAGTTAAAAAAGCAGGAAAAGAGGGCTGTTTCAAAGGCTGCTTCTCTGCACGCAGCGTGCTGATGATGTTTTACAGGCGCGCCCGTGCAAGGAAGCACATCGTAAATCATCGAACCTCGTACATCCCGAACCGGTAGTTAACCCTGTCGTATCCCACCCCTGCTTCTTAGCCAAGAAGCTTCTTCAGTTCTAAATGAATGGTGGAGAATGGAAGGATTTATATTCCTTGCAATCATCTGGTTGATGGCACTCTTTGAAGACACATTCTGGACAGAGGGGACCCCTGGTTTGAAAGAGGGATCAAAGAGGCCATGTATGTCAAAATTGAACAGCCCTCTCTCAACAAATGGGGAGGGATACGACACCCCTACCTGCTGTCTACAACATGGTTCTTTCAGCAGTTCCAAGAAGGATCCACTCCTATTTGCACTATTCAGGTGACTCTGAGGGCACAGATAAACCTCCAGGTGGCCTCAACGACTCTCAGAACCAGACCAGAGGACTTCAAGGAATATAAATCCTTCCATCCCCCACCATTCAGCCAGAACCGAAGAAGCTTCTTGGATGAGAAGTGAAACATCTTCAAGGAAAAAAACCAAGAAAGTCCAGTTGCCTTTTGAAAAAAGCACCTTAGCTGGGTTGACTGAGAACCATGGCTGGGATGACTGAGAATCTCCATGGACACTCTTCTCATTTGGTGGCCAAAGTATTTGAGCTTCAGTTTTAGTATCTTAATTTGTTATATAAATAAATTATACAACCTCAAATGCTTGTTTTTATTGTGTAGGTTGACAAATGTACATCAGATTTTTTTGATTGTGCTCCTGTGCCAATATTAATTTTGAAGGTTCCATACAATGGCCTTTGTTTTCCCTCCAGATTACTCTGACCACCATTGGTTATGGGGACAAGTATCCACAAACCTGGAATGGGCGTCTCCTGGCAGCAACCTTCACTTTGATTGGGGTTTCCTTTTTTGCTCTCCCAGCAGTAAGTAGCAATAGCACTCAGACTTATATACCACTTTATAGTGCTTTACAGCCCTCTCTAAGCGGTTTACAGAGTCAGCCTATTGCCCCCAACAATTTGGGTCCTCATTTTACCCACCTCGGAAGGACGGAAGGCTGAGTCGACCTTGACCCTGGTGAGATTCGATCTGCCAAATTGCAGGCAGCCAGCAATCAGAAAGTTCAAACTGCCCAAAGAGCTGCTGATCCAGTTCAAAAGGAAATTATTGAGTCTGTCATCTGTACCTCTATAACTGTTTGGTTTGGTTCTGCAACACAACAAAACAGACACATATTTCAGAGAGTAATTAGGACTGCAGAAAAAAAACAATTACTTCCAACCCGCCTTCCATCGAGGACCTGTATACTGCACAAGTTAAAATGAGGGCTGTGAAAATATTTACAGACCCCTCACACCTTGGACACAAACTATTTCAACTCCTACCCTCAAAACGACACTATAGAGCAATGCATACCAAAATAACTAGACACAAGAACGATTTTCCCCTGAATTTCATCACTCTGCTAAAGAAATAATTCCCTCAGCACTGCCCAACTATTTACAAAGTCTGCACTATTATTACCATTAATCTTCTCATCACTCCTTATCACTCATCCCCTCCCACTTGTGACTGTATGACTGTTACTTTGTCGCTTGTATCCTTACGGTTTATATTGACTGTTTCCTAGTATGATTTGATGTCAACCTTGAGCCTGGTGAGATTCAAACTGCCAAATTGCAGGCAGCTGGCAGTCAGCAGAAGTAACCTTCAGTGCTGCACTCTAACCACTGCGCCACCGTGGCTCAGTAAAGTCCTCTGCAGCCCCCTTTTCTTGGAAAGAAAGCCAAACCATATCCAGTGCTGTGGCTTACTTAGGATGGGAAGCATCCACATTGCCTCTGGCCTCTGAATAGTTTGCAAGCTTAAAACGCCCCATTTTCATTGGGCGAAGCAACTTCCTTGCTGGGTGATGAAACTGAACGTGTCTAAAGATAGTCCTTGACTTACCAACATTTGTTTAGTGACTGTTCGAAGTTACAGCGCAGCTGAAAAAAAGTGACACGACTGGTCCTCACCATTACGAGCAACTCTGCGTCCCCCATTAGGGTAGGCCAAATTTTTCAACTTTCACTTTCCAAACAATGAGGGCTGCTCAAAAGTTGCTTTGAGGGTTGTAAAGATGTTCTGGTGACTTCAGTGTAATTTAGATATGCTTGGTAAATAGCTACCTAAACATCATAACTTTTAAACATTTTGTTTGTTTCGTCCCCATGGACATGTGATTGTAATTGAAGCACCTGGCAACCATCGCACATTGATGAAGTTTTCAGTATCCCACGGTCATTTGTGACCTTTATTTTGTGACGGTTCAAGGTTCCAGTGGCAGTTATAGCAGCACCCCTGTGGTCACTTGGTCAAAATGTGGGCCCTTGGCAACTGGCATGTATTGTTCTGATCAAGGCTTCCTGAGCCACCAACAAACACATATAAAATCCAAAACTTTTTTATTTTAGTTCAATGGCTGTGAATTATGGTCATTCATAGCTCGGAATGAGTCTTAATCGATTATAATTATTCCCAGGGACGTCTGCTAAAGTTCTTTGTAAGCCATCTGATAAGAACACACCTTATCTGACTTGAAGTGCTGCCAATGATTAAAAGTCCCGATTAGTCTTTCCAAACCAAATGGAGAACAAATTCAACACGGAGCTTTCAGAGCCCAAACCAATCAGAGCGAACGACATTGCTTCCTGCAGAGGTTTTCCTACCTTTGCACTTCCTTTATACCTTATGAGAGGGGCAATCACCTCCAAGCCTTACTCCTGAGTCACCCCTTTTGTCTTAGCTGTTCTTGTCTTCTGGCAGCTCTGCGCATATGCACCCTGGGAACAGGCTCCCCTTGTTCCTCTGCCTCGCTGCTGTCAGATTCTGGAGGCTCCAGAGTCAGTACATAACTCCCAGATGTCCCTGGCCCTATCTCTGTATCGGACGCAGGACCCTCGTCCGAGTCCTCCCCAGACTCCAGGACTGGTCCCTGTTCTTCCCCACTGTCCGATTCTGCTTCCGTCTGCATAGGCTGCCGGCGAACCACAACATGTACAGCCATGTACAGCCTTCCAACAAGCCAAATAGAAGGACCAGGGGAGACATGATAGCAGTGTTCCAATATTTGAGGGGCTGTCCCAAAGAAGAGGGAGACAAGCTACTGTCCAAACCACCTGAAGGAAGAACAAGAAACAATGGATGGAAACTAATCAAGGAGAGAAGCACCCAGTATTCAGGAGGAATTTCCTGACAGTAAAAACAATTAATCAGTGGAACGGCTTGCCTTCAGAAGCTGTGGATTGTAGGTTTAAAACCTCACTGGAGGTTTTTAAAAAGAGATTGGACAACCACTTGTCTGAAATGGTATAGGGGCTTGAGTAGGAGGCTGGTCTAGAAGGCCTCTAAGGTCTCTTCCAACTCTATTATTCTGTTAATTCTGTTGATATCATTTTCAGGGAATTCTAGGTTCCGGCTTCGCCTTGAAGGTTCAAGAGCAGCATCGTCAGAAGCACTTTGAAAAAAGAAGAAATCCTGCAGCTGGTTTAATTCAGGTGAGTGGAGAGAATGTGGGGTGGGCTCAGGAAAGGCTGGGTCTCCTAGGAGATAGAAATGGATCAAGAAGGTGCTGGAAGAGAATCGATTCATGCTGTAAAACCTTCTTAGAGCAGGGCTCTCCGATCTTGGCAATTTAAGACTTGCGGACTTCCAGAATTCCCCAGCCAGCCTATAACTCACTTAACAGCCAGATTGCTTAACAACATAAATTCTGGCCATCAGTTGTGGTAAGTTGAGGACTACCCATATATCAAAGATAACGACAAAGTAGTTTCTCCCCTGCAAAATCTAAGTTAGCAATAGCAATAGTACTTACTTATATACCACTTCACAGTGCCTTTACAGCCCTCTCTAAGCGGTTTACAGAGTCAGCCTGTTATTGCCCTCAACAAACAATCTGGGTCTTCATTTTACCAACCTGGGAAAGATGGAAGGCTTAGTTAACCTTGAACCGGTCAGAATTGAACTACAGACAGAGTTAGCCTGCAATATGGCATGGAACAGAATGGGAATGGAATAGAAATAGAAATAAGAATAGAAATAGAATAGAATAGAAATAAGAATAGAAATAGAACTAGAATAGAACTAGAATAGAAATAAGGATAGAATAGAATTAGCATTTAGATTTGTATACCACTTCACAGTGCTTTACAGTTCTCTCAAAGCAGTTTTCAGACTCAGCCTATAGCCCTCAACAATCAGGGTCCTCATTTTACTGACCTCAGAAGGATGGAAGGCCGAGTCAAACTTGAGCTGGTCAGGATCGAACTTTCTACTGGCAGTCGGCAGTGGGCAGAATTAGCCTGCAATACTGAATTCTCAGCACTGGGCCACCACCAAGTTTAACTTCATTACTTGCTTGTTTCATTTGTTTGAAATCATATCTGCCTCTCCTTCCTTATATTCTCTCAGGCTGCCTGGAGGTTCTACGCCACTAACCTCACTCGAACCGATTTGCACTCTACCTGGAATTACTACGAACGGACCGTCACCGTTCCCATGTACAGGTAAGCATTTCATCCAGGTCCATGATTCCTCTACAAGTAGTCCTTGGCTTACAACCATTTGTTTAGTGTTCGTTCAAAATTACAACAGCACTAAAGAAAGTGACGGATGAGTGTTTTTCACACTTATGATCTTTGCAACATCCCCATGGTCACACGATCAAAACCCAGATGTTTGTAACTGACATTTATGATGGTTGCAGTGTCCCCTGGTCACGTGATCTCCTTTTGCGACCTTCTGGCAAGCAAAGTCCATAGCGAAGCCAGATTCACTCAACTATTGTGTTACTCACTGAACAACTACAGTGATTCACTTAACAACTGCGGCAAGACAGGTTGTAAAGTGGGGCAAAGCTCACTTAACAACTCCTTTGGTCAGAAAATTTGGGCTCATTGTGGTCGTGAGCCAAGGACTACCTGCATTTCTATCCATCTTGCTTATTTTTCGTTACGTTCGCCAAAATGTTTTGTTCTCATTGTGTTTTTGTTTTTAAAACTCACTGGGAAGCTCTCTTTCTAGAAGTCACTTTTTGTTTTCAAATGCTAGATTTAGATTCATTCCTCCATTGCTTATATTGGTTTATATTAATTTCTTTTTCTTTTCTTGCACATTTATGTTTCTCCGTTGGCCATCGTCTTTATTTTTCTGCGCCTGTTCTCGGTGGGTATTGTTTTCTGACAATTGCCATGTCAGGAACCTGAAGACGGTCTGAAAGGCTGGCCTTGAAAAGTAGGTAAAATAATAATAATAATAATAATAACAAACAACCCCTTTTTTTCCATTTTCCCCCCATGGCTTTTCTCTTCCTATATCATCTAGCATTTTGACCTGTGCTCTTTTTTTTGATCCATGATGTGGAAAATGAATTGTGGAACATCCTTTCTGCAAATGTAGATTCCTTTCCTGAACATCCTAGAGTTTTTGAACCTTTTGCTGTTTTTGAACCTTGGCAACTTTAAGATAAGTGGACTTCAACTCCCAGAATTCCCCAGTCAGCCATGTTGGGAATTCTGGGAGTTGAAGTCCACCCATCTTAAAGTCGCTAAAGTTCAGAGTGACTAAATAATTTCAGTTTCTAACCAAAATTTAAATGGGAAGCAGAACACCTGGAGAACATGGTTTTTAATTCTTTGTGAAAATAATCTCCAGAGAGAATGGTGATCACAGAATAAAGCAGCCTTCCCTAGTATGTGTCTTCCAGATATATTGGAACTACAATCCCCAGAATTCCCTGGATTATGCTGAGAAGGAATTTTGGGAAGACGCACCTTCTCATGTGAAGAAAACAAGATTAGGGAAAGCAGCCATAGATATAAATTAGGTTGAATGACTCAACTGCATTAAGAAAACTTAGCTGACTATAGAAATGGTTGTACTTGATTGAGATGGTGATGTTGGGCATTTGCAAATTATTTCTTTTGTGGAATGAGAAAGGGTAGCAGAATTTGGCTGTTTGTATGAAGGAGCTAAGCAATTTCAGGCCTGATTAGTATTGGATAGGAGACCAAATTAGGAAGGTTAGAAAAAATTAAAAAATATTAGAAATTAGAAACAAAATAGAAAAACTCCCAGGAAGTGACAATGAAATAAAATGAACAACATCACAACACTTATTCGAGAGTAAGTTTGATGTAGTGGTTAAGGTGCTGGTTTAGAAACCAGGTGAGAGTGAGTTCTAATCCACTCTTAGACATGAAAGCCGACTGGGTAACTTTGGACCAATCATCAAGGGGCGGTAATTCTTGGGCCAATCACCAGGAGACGGTAAGTTCTAGTTCTGCCTTAAGTCATAGAAGCCTTGGGTGAGTTTGAGCCAATCACCAGGAGACGGTAAGTTCTAGTCCCACCTTAGGCATGAAAGCTGGCTGGGTGATGTTGGGCCCATCACCAGAAGACCGTGATTTCTAGTCCTGCCTTAGGTAGGCAAGAAAGCTGGTTCGGTGATTTGAGGCCAGTCACACTCTCTCAGACCAATCCACCTCACAGGGTTGTTGTTGTGAAAATAGAAGGAGGGAGGTTTATTGGTTTATGGCGGTTATGTTGGACTAAGAGTGTAAAGACTCCATTTCATCCTTAGGTCGGAAAAAAAAACAGATGAAAGGGTACAGAATAGATGGTACCTGGGTATTATGGGAAGGGTCTGGTTACCTGGAAGAATTAAGATCAAGCACAAGCCAGAAGAGGGTTAGACTTATGCACGCCTCCTACAGACCTCTTAGGAAAGGGGTGAGGTCAATAGTAGACAGTCTAAGGTTAAAGTTTTTGGGGTTTGGGGAAGAAACCACAGAGTCAGGTAGAGTATTCCATGCATTGACCACTCACTCTGTTGCTGAAGTCATATTTCCTGCAATCAAGTTTGGTGCGGTTTACCTTGAGTTTGTATCTATTGTTTGCTCTTGTATTGTTATGGTTGAAATTTGAAAATAGCAGGAAGTGCCGCTAAGAAAATTAAATGAAACAAACAAACAGGGTCTTGGTTGGGGTTTTATAAGGCCGAGCAGAGATAATAATGTCTTGTGGTTTTCTCTGTCAGTTCTCGTTAAAAAAAATACGCTTTAGAGCAAGGGCCTTCAAACTTGGCAAGTTTAAGACTTGTGGACTTCAACTCCCAGAATTCCTGAGCTAACATGACTGGAGGAGGAATTCTGGGAGTTGAAGTCCACAAATCTTAAAGCTATCAAGTTTGAAGACCCCTGCTTTAGAAGTTTGGCTCAGAGGATGTGAGAATAAACTCCAGGAAAATGCAGCTAGTCCTCGACTTACAGCCACAACTGAGCCCAGAATTTCTGTTGCAAAATGAGACAGTTGTTAAGTGAGTTGTTATGACCTTTCTTGCTACAGTTGTTAAGTGAATCACTGCAGTTGTTAATTTAGTAACATGGCTGTTAAGTGAATCCGTCTTGCCCATTGACTTTGCTTGTCAGACGGTCGCAAAAGTGACCCCTGGATACTGCAACCGTCATAAATATGAGTCAGTTGTCAAACACCTGAATTTTGATCATGTGACCAGGAGGATGCTGCAACGGTTGTAAGTGTAAAAACAGTCATAAGTCACTTTTTCAGTGCCGTTGTAACTTTGAACGGTCACTAAATGAGCCATTGTAAGTCGAGGACTAACTGCATTATGAATATGTGCACAAAACGGAGTTGGTGTTGCTATGCCTTGCTAGGATGGAGGTTCTTGTAGGAAAAGATTGGGCTGAGAGAGAGAGAGAGAGAGAGAGAGAGAGAGAGAGTGACTGGCCCACAGTCACCCAACCGGGTTTTTATTCCTAAGGCAGGTCTAGAATTCAAACTCTCTTAGTGATTGGCCCAAAACCATCCAATAGGCATTCATGTCTAAACCAGGACTAGAACTCACCATCTTCTCCAAAGTCCAAAGTCACCCAATTGACTTTCATGTCTCAGGTAGGACCAGTGGTGGGATTCAATTTTTTTTTACTGCGGGTTCTGTGGGTGTGGCTTGTTGGGCATGACGTGGCTTGGTAGGCGTAGGTTGGTGAGCATGGCAGGGGAAGGATACTGTAAAATCTCCATCCCCTCCCCACCCACTAACCTGCTTTCCAGCTCCGTTCTCCTTTGCGGGGCAACAAAAGGAGACCCAGCCGATCAGCTGGGACTCAATGGGAGGCAGAGAAGGGATGGGGGCAGGGCCAGTCAGAGGTCTGATTTGCCGGTTCTCCGGACTAAAAATTTCTGCTAGAACTGGTCAGAACCTGCTGAATACCACCTCTGTTCAGGTAGGACTAGAACTCACGGTCTCCTGGTTTTTTAACCTGTTTCATTAACCACTACACCAAACTGGCTGTCTCTGCACCTACAGCAGCATACGATTCTTTTCAGTAACAACTAAATAATCTTGTCTTCTTTTTTTTACAAAAAACAAAACCAGGTCAGGAATCTTGGATGAGGCCCAAATTATTATTTCTGTCCTTCTGGATGAGGGTCAGAGGTGGTATTCAACAGGTTCTGACCAGTTCTGGAGAACCGGTAGTGGATATTTTGAGTAGTTCGGAGAACCCGGCAAATGCCACCTCTGACTGGCCCCGCCCCCATCTATTCTTTGCCTCCCATTGAGTCCCAGCTGATCGGCTGGGTCTTCCTTGGTTGCCCTGCACAGGAGAACAGAGCTGGAAAGCAGGTTAGTGGGGTGGGGAGGGAATGGGGATTTTGCAATTTCCTTCCCCTGCCATGCCCACCAAGCCACACCCACCAAGCCACGCCCACAGAATGGTAGTAAAATTTTTTGAATCCCACCACTGATGAGGATATACAAGTCGATGCAGTTCAGTAGAGGCCAGTCAGGTGTGACAGATTTTATGAAACACAGGAAACCATAGTTCACTTAGAGTTTATCAGATCATCAGGAACTGCTATATTTCTCCTGGCCTTAATTTTAGTTTTTCTGCTTGCTCCGGCATTCTGGATATTCCCAGTGTATTTGGGAGTGTTGATATAATCACTTTGTGCATGATGTGCAGGAAGCAACCCCTTGATCTATTTTTACAGAGCTTCTCGGGCACCTAAGCTAAGCTGAGCTCTGTATCAATTGAATAATTGATTGGGGTGGTGAATTTTTAATCTCCTTCAGAAGTCCTCAGCATCACAGTTGTTGTAATCAAATTCACTTCCGGGAGAAAATGCTGCATTTCTACAGGAGCTCTGCTTCTTGTCACTTGCCTTTCTGGTTGCTGTGGTAGAGAAGACTTTGGATAGCGAGGTGAGCAGGGTATAAATTTAATAAATAAAAATGCACAAACTGGGTAAGCAAATCCTGGCACAACTGTTAGAAGTGACTGGAATGGACATCGTCTGCGTTCAAAAGCTTTGAAAAATGTTTGGAGAGTGTTTTCAAATTCCAGAATATGGGTAAATGTGTTCTGGGTCGTGTTTAACAGATTAACAGAGTTGCAATGGACCTGGTAGGTCATCTAGTCCACCCCCCCTCCCCAAGCAGGAGACTACACCATTTCTGAAAAATGGCAGTCCAATCTCTTCTTGA